AAAAAAAAAAAAAAAAAAAAAAAAAAAAAAAAAAAGTGGGTTGGGAGAAGTGGGGGACAATGACGCTCAGCGAGAAGGCCCTGGGTTCATTCCCCAGCACCGCGAAACAAAAATAAAAACCAACCAACACACAAAAAGCCAAGCACACCTCCCCTCCTGTTTCTATCTGTACTTCCTCTTTTCTAAGAAGTCTGAAACCCCTACCAATTCGCTTTTAGTCAGCTGGGGAAGCACTCCCTAACCTTAACTAGCGTAACACACTCACTCCTCTTCTCGCCCCACCCACCATCTTCCTCAGGTCTCTGCGCGAAGGCAGCATCCCGGTCTTCAGGGTCTATCCACTCTATTGCCTGTCAATTCTAGAAATTTATAGAATTTTGTCTCTTCGCTAATCTTTTAAATTACTAGTATAATAAACCATTTTACTTGTCTGTGCAGTCGCCATCCGCTTACATTGAGGATTAAAAAAAAAAGGTTTAGAAATCTCTGTTATCAGACAGGCAATATTTAAGACAGTCCGTAAAAGAGCGGCGGGGTCCTACGCTCTTCCGTCGCTAAACCCAGCTAGGGCCCGGCCGCGCACGCGCAGTAGACCCGATTCGCCATGCCGACTGTCAGCGTGAAGCGCGATCTGCTCTTCAAAGCCCTGGGCCGGACCTACAGTGAGTGTCCGCCCAGTATCTTGGGTTCTGCGCCTTTCCTCTGGGTCTGGGACGCCTTCCAAAATGGCATCTTGGCAACATTCACGCCGCCTGCACTGCATTGGTTTGGCACTGACGAGTGAGGTATTCGGCCTCTCAGAACCCGCTTCGCAGCGGCCACAATTGCATCACCTGCGTGTGCCAGGCGCTCCGTGTCATTCATTCATTCATTCATTCATTCATTCATTTATTATCGAGCGCCTACTGCGCGCCCAGCTCAAGCGTTGGTGCCAGGGTACAGAACAGGAAGAAAGCTCCGGGTTGCATCCCTAGTGTAGACAGCTGAGCACTGTGGAAACTCAATTTGTATAGGGGGAGAGGAAAGGAGTTTGAGCAGGAGGGAGGGGAAGGCGTTCTGTCAACGTGTATTTAATGTTTATCGAGTGCCAGTTATGTGTTAGGCATCGTTGTAAAATCTTGGAAAAGCAGCTGTGCACATGACATAGGAAGGACCACGTTTTCTTTTCGTTGGAGGAGGCGAACAGTAAATAACAGATGACTTTGGAGGGAAAAAAACTATCAAGAAAAGAAAGCAAGATGTTAAGAACAGCACTTGATATGATTGGTAACACTGAGTTCAGACCTTAATGCTGAGTCTGTTCGATAGGATTTCTCTATTTGGTCTCTTTCTCAGTTCTAAAATCATAACCATTGAAAAAAAAGGAAAATACCAAGTAAATTATTTGCCTCACAGATGGAGCCCCACCTCATAATAATCAGCTTGAATAAAGGCTGTAGCAAATAACTTGTGAAAACTATATTTTTGCTATTAGATATCAAGATAATAAAGCCTTAAAAAACCCCATTACCGATTTAATGACACGTACCGCTTCTCAGAATACGATATTATTTTTACTGTGAAAATAATGATCGTTTTTAAAAAACTTTACTAAGGGTATACTCCACCTGTTCTCAAAGTGTTACTCTCTTTGAAGGTGAAGGTAATACCCTTACCCTTTGAACATGGTTCTAATTTCTCATCTGCTTTTTATGCTCATTGTATTTCTTGTCCTACTAAACTATTGTTTCACTAGTGGGATGATATGCCTGAATTACTCAAGATGGTATGTGGCAAAAGCTTGTTCAAAACCACCTAGAATCAGTTCCCAGGTCTTTTCCAGTTAGGAAAGTAAAAACTGATTCATGTTTTTAAAAATGGTGAGCTCTGTAGCTCATGTGGTGAGCTACTGTCACCTGATGTTTTAACACCTTCCTCCTGTTTGTTTTTTAACTTGAGTGATCCAGTAAGCTTGATATTGTTGTTTGTTTTTTTGAGACAAGGGCTTGCTGTGTAGTTTAAACTGGGTTTGAACTTACTATGTATTCCAGGCTGGCCTCTGACTTGTGGCGATCCTCCTGCCTCAGCCTCTCAAGTGCTAGGATAATAAGTGTGCAGCACCGTTCTTGACTTGATTTTCTGTAGAGGGTGAATGTTTAGCTACTGGTCTTTTGAGAATTTCAGTCAGAAAGACTGATGTTATTGAGATATACTTCAGACCAGTTAGAAATAATACTCCTCGGTATTTGGCAGGCATGGGGATTGAGCCCAAATAATTTGCAACACCCCCAACCCCTTTTAGTTTTTATTTTCAGACAGGATTTTGCTAAATTACCCAGGCTGGTCATGAACTTTCCATCCTGCTGAGTAGCTGGTATTAGGGGCTTGCACCATTGCACCCAGTTTCATCATGAGTTTATACTGTGTTCTCTCTAGAAAGTTTTTAAGTGTCAGTTAAGTCAAGGTCAGCTGGAAAAGCATGTTTAGCAGAGCATTTGGATCTTTCTTGTTTCTCTCCATTTTTCCTTTGTTTTCTTATTTTCAGATAGTGTCTTGCTCATGCTGTTCCTATCTGTGTTTTCTTACTTCAGTCCCTTCAAGGGTTTCCGTCTGTTTACCTGAAATTCTGTGATTTTTTTCCAGTCACCACCATCCCCTTTACAGCTTTTCTTATCAGGATATTTCTCTCTACCTGTTTCTTTTTTTGTGTGTGCTCAGGATCGAACTCAGGACCTTGGGCTTGGAGGTAGGTAAGGTGCCACTGAGTTAAATCCCTGGCCCTCTCACTGGTTATTTGGTTCTTTTGGAGCAGTTTTGTTATTCTACATTTTTACTGCCTTTCTGCTCATATGGTTTCCTTTGCCACTCATTTTCTCATTAATGAATTATCACTTCTCTTCCATTCCGGCCCTGTCTTGGCTTGGTGTAGTAGTTAGTGATACTGCCAGAGCCATCATATCATACAAAACCCTGAGATACATGCATCCATTTGTTGGAGAAAATTATTAATCATTTTATTCTTGGTTCTCCTTTGGTCTAAACACATAAAGTACAGCTGAAAGGAATAAAACCTAATACTTCAGATTCAATATATTATTCTATACAGTTTGGCTAATAATCATGTGATTGCCTGTTACTGCATAACAAATTACCCCAAAATTTAGTGACTTAGAACTGCTTATTATCTTGTGTAGTTTCTTCTTGTTGTTGCTGTTTTAGGATAGAATCTCACTTTGTAATCCCAGCTGGCCTGGGAACGCACAATCCTCCTGCCTTAGCCTTTTAAATGATGGGATTACAGGTATGCATCCAGCCTCTTACATAGTTTCTGATTGTCAGAAATTGGGTAATAGGGCCAGGGTTTTAGCTCAGTGGTTCTGCTGCCTGCCTCAAAAGCACAAGGACCCAAGTTCGATCCCTGGTACCAAAAAGAAAAAAAAAAAAAAGAAAGAAAAATTGGGAATGGTGGTTCTGTCTACAGCTCTCTCATCAGATTGTAGTCAAACTGTTGGCGCGATCTATCATTATCTCAAGGCGTCACAGGCTAGAAAATCTGCTTCCAGGATGATTTAAGTGATTGTCTCAGGCCTAGTTCCTTTCTGATTTTTGACCATAGGCCTCAGGTCCTTTCATCTTGGCTTTTCCTTAGGATTACTTACAAAGTGCTATTTTATTTATCCCCAAATGAGAAGTCAGAGAATAGGTAAATGGGATAGCTTTGGTTAATGGAGGCTACCTTGGAGGTTGATTGCTACAGTCCTCCCTCTGGTCCTCAGTGATTCCTGTTCTCATACATGTAAAATACACTCTCCCTCTGAAGTATCATTGCATTACAGTGGCAACTCAGAATCCAGAATCTCATCATCTGAATCAGGTCCCGAGGTGGGTGAGGCTCTTCATACGTAGTACTCTGAGTAGCTCCTTGAATACATGTAACTCTGAAGAGGCTCAAGAACCAAGGTAACTGCCTCAGACACATGTAATACAATGGTGGGATGGTGTAGATGTAGGATAACTACTGTAGACATTCCTCTAAAAAGAGAAGAGAGTGGAAGATACGAAGGAATCAGTGGTCCGTGACAATTCTAAAACTGAATTACAAATATTGGATGTTCTTTTTTTCGTTGTGTTTATTGGTTTTTTTGAGCAGGGTCTCACTATGAAGTTCAGGCTGGCCTTGAACTCACTGTGTATCTCAGGTTGGCCTCAGCCTTGAGTGCTAGGATTACAGGTGTGTGCTACCAAGCCCGGCCATTCTGGAATTTTTTTCCCAGTATGGGACTTGAAATCAGAACCTTGCACTTGCCAGGCAGGCACAGCACTAATAAGCTACATCCCCAACCCTTGTTGGATGTTATTAATTAGGTCTCAGAGCCTGGAACAATTCTTCATGCTCCTGTGCCCTGCCCTGTAGGCTCTTGGTTCCATCCTCTGAATGAAATCCCCAGAAAGCATGTACTTCACAGCTGATTAGTTTTCTCAGTCTATTTCTTGCTGATAGAATTTTGGGGGTTCAAAGACTTTATTCTGTCAGTTTCTGCCCCTTTCCATGCAAGCTGCCGGTGTTTCTGTGTATTTTGTGGGTCTTCAGTGAATTTTACTGGCTTCTATTTCATTAGTCAGAAATCACACAGCCACAGATCTGTGAAATAAATTGTTTCTGTACTTTGGGCATCTGCTCATACAGTTCTCTTAATTAAGCTTTCTTGTGTGATTTATTGGATTTGTTAGTCACACCCTTAATTCCTTTATTGTGCCTTTAGTCTGAATTGTGATTATGATCTTTCTGACTCTTAAGATTTTCATTCATACCCTTAATTCTATCTTCTGCCTTGGATTTGGTCTTTGTTCAGAAGTTATTTCTCAATTTTAACATTATTTAATGTCTGTGAGAGGCTGAACATTTTAAAAATCATCAGCATCTTGGTTCTTTTGGTTTAGTGGCCCTTTAGTTTATCTCTTCTCTTACATAAGCCTAAGGAAAAAAAAAAAAAAAAAACAGGCTGCACATTGCACACTGGTTGGAAATGTTAGTTACACCATCACTTTGATTAAGTACATTTTTTACAGTCCACTGCAGATGATAATGTTGGTAAACTTTCTTCTTCTACATGACAGAGAGTGCCTTTTTCCTACACTCCAATAGCTATCTTAATTTCTTCCATGTGCTCACCTGCATCCTGATTGAAGACTATGAGGCTGCTGCGAACATTTTTAAGGCCCTTAGGATGTCCTTTACATTCCTCACAGATTGCTCTCTGGTTCTTGAATTACTCCCCTGGCTTTGGTTTTTGTTAGAACAGCTCTCCACTTCCCGGGACTAAGGCGTGTATTAGAGTCTATTGCTACCTAACAAATTAACCCACTGCTTGGGTGTGTGAAACAGTACGCAGTTATTGTTTGGCAGTTTTTAAGAGGCAGGAGTGAAAGTGGCTTAACTAGGTGGTTCTGGCTCTGGATCTTTTACCAGGTTGCAGACACCTCACAATTTGGCTGAACTGGGGATCTGCTCCCAAGCTCGCTCACTGGGTTGCATCAGACCTGAGTTCACCCAGTCATTGGGGACCATCTCGGAGGCTCGGTGTCTTTGTTACTACCTACCTTAGTCAATGATAGCCCCACTTTCTTTTCTTCAAAATCGGAGAAATAGCAGTTATCCTAGGCTCCTGCTCACTTGATATTTTACATTCTATCAGTCAGCTATTGAACTTTATAAATTTAGCCTCTAACAGTTCTCATAGTCCTTCTTTATGCTCACTGTGGCTGGTTTAAATGAAGTCCTCACTGTATTTCACCTGTGGTATTGTAAAAGACTCCGCTTCAATTCATTCTCAACCCTGCTACCATTCTGAAATGCAGGTCTCAGGCCAGAGTGCTCGCCTAGCTTTGTGAGGGCCTGAAATTAATAGCCAGCACTACAAATAAATAAAAAGAAAAATATGTATCTAACACCTGTTTTCCCAGCTGAAAAAGTCCTTCAGTGTAACTTCCATTGCTTGCAGAAAGTGGGAAAATCCCTTGGCATGTCATTAGCTGTCCTCTTCCTGCTGTCGACCGTTTCTTCCTGACATGAACCTTGTGCTTCACCTGTATTGGACTGATTAGTTTTCAGCTTTATTTCCTCCCTGAAGTCTCTCACTAGTGAAAGTATCCTTTGTGTAAACCCTAATGGACCCTAAGAGGAGCTTTGTGCCACCCCTATACCTTGCTCTTAAGATATCACTAATTTACCCCTCCGGTTTCTTTGGTAGAAGAGGAAGTATTTAAGGCAGGAATTATATTTTATTTTTTATATCCCTGGTATCTAGTACAGTTCCTGCATTTATTGGGTGTTGAAGTCCAGTGTCTGGATCAGAAAATTTTGTGTGTGTGTTTATTCTGGATATTTTGTTTATTTGTGTTTTGCTGCTGAGAATTGACCCCAGGGCCTCACCCATGCTACGCATGCACTGTACCACTGAGTTCATCCCCAGCCCTGGGTCAGGAATCTTAAAACAGCTTTTTCATAATACACTGGTAATGATGGTTTGTCTTCAATTTTTGATGATGTGAAAACCCTGAAAGTGCTGTATGAGGTGGCAGCAAAGTGGGATAGGAAAAAAAACCCACTCCTTCAGGGTGCTGTGCCAGGTCCATTATCTGCTTGATTTCATTGAAATCTTTCCAACATTCCCGTGCTGAAAATGTAAAAGGCCACTGTACAGATAAGGCAATGGTAGGGTTCACATAAGTTGCCCAGCTCTCAGAACTAGTAAATGGGATTGTCAGAATTCAGAAGCCTCATCTTGTGTTTCCAAAGCCAAGTGTTGAACTGTCCCAAAGAATTTTAAGTAAGTATTAGGACTTATATGACATTCTTTTGCATAGGATCTGTGATTTGGAGCCTACTTTCTCTTTGATCTCTGCCTAACAGGTTTTTATCCCCCTCTCTGAAGTCTATGCAGACTTCTCAACACTGGTAACCTGATCGTATTGTTGGTATTAGGATCCTAATCCCATTAATAGTTTTGATTTTCTTTTTAAATTTTTTTGGCAAGACTTTCGTTTGTTTAGATGCCTGAAATTTAGTATGGTTCATGTAAGGGGTAATTAATAATAAGAAAATAGGATTGACATACAGTATTCATTTTTGCTGAACAGATTAAAACTAACAGTTTTTTTGTGTTTGTTTTTCCCTAGCTGACGAAGAATTTGATGAACTGTGTTTTGAATTTGGTCTGGAACTTGATGAAATTGTATGTATTAGATATTTGCTTAATTTTCAGATATTCTGTGTATAAGTACTCTTCAGGGGTTTACTGTATTTTAATTAGACAAAGATGAGTCATTTTCAGGCCATGGTAATTTCTGTGTTCTGGGGAAAATTACTCTGCCTCCATGGTCTCATTTAGTCACTCTGGGTCTCCTTTTCCTTTGTAAAATAGGGGAGTTGGAGAATATGATCTTTGTAGATCCCTGTGGCCCTGAAATTTATGTGGTCTTTGATTTCTGAGATTTTTGTCAGATAGCACAGATTTTTTTTTAAACGAATCAAGATATTGAAAATGACAGATCTGAGCTACTGTGTGTGGTGTTTGGTTTTGGTTTGTAAACAAATTAGGCTGTGTTTTGTTTGGATGACTTCATTTCTCTGGGTATCATTTATCTCCTCTTCTTTTTACAAACCTCCCCTGAAATCTGCCATCCCTGTGAGTTGAATCAGCTTTCTTCACTAAAAACAGTACTTTTACTACTGCTTTGGTGGAATAGTGTTTACATTCTAATTCTTTCTCTTCCTTCCCTTCCCTCCGTCTTTCTCTTCTCGTTTCCTTCCTCCTCTTTTTCATTTTCCCTACTTTGAAGAATTTACCTCTACACTTGAGGCACCAAGGCACAGCTTCGCACAGTCCCATCACTGCCTGGCTCTCTGTGGTTCCTCAAGGGTGACTTGGGCACACAGTACTTAGTGACCACAAGCAAATTCCTCACTGTACTTTGCAAGTGCAGATGGGATTCTCAGTGTGGGCTGTGATTTGAGTTACTTAGATTGTGGCAGTGGGAGGACATTGTGTAAAACAAAAATCATTACATATAATGATAGAAATCCATCACAGATTTTATAGGTTATTGGTGGGGAAATAGTAAGAATTCTTGTTAAGTGGCATTTTAAAATGAAGGGTATCTGTAACAGTTAGAATATAACTTTGAAACATTTTGACTGAAAATTTCTTAGGTATGTCTACAGTTTCATGCTATAGTAAACTTAGGAAATAGAATTTAAATTACCAGCAATGGTTATCTTTGAAAAAACTATTACTCTCTGCTGTAATGCAATTAAAGTATTCTAAGCTCTGCCATTGCTTTAAAAAATTACTATCTTATTAGTGTTTTTTCTCTTTTGTTTGCCTTCATTCTGCTGCTCTATGCCTTTATTATCATGCTAGATCACTCTGTTTTACCTGTTAGACCTTCTAATTTTCAGCACAGCCTCTGAAAATGTCTTTGAATGTTTTGGTTTGCTCTTTTATATTATCACCTGCATTCTCATATTGTTAGGCGTGGATTTAGGTTAGGATTTAGATGTTGGAACCATTATCCTAGTAGTCCTGTTTCTTTTATTTGACTATTCATCTTCATCTCTTTGACACTTATTGTTGTTCCTCCGTGTTCTTGGGCGTGTCTTCACTTTTTTTTTAGATGGAAAAGAACAAACTTTCTGTAAAGTGCCTAATCATAAATAAGTTAGGCTTCATAGGTTCTGTCGTCTCTGTTATAACTTAGCTGTTGCAGTGTGTGGCAGCGGGTAATGCATAAATGAATGGATCGGTCTGTATTTCAGTAAAACTTGATTTGCAAAAACAGCTGTCAGCCATGATGTGACCAGTGGGCCTTTTCCTTAGATTTGTGCTGTTCAAAAATGGCTGATGCTAAATGTGTGAGCTAAGTATTTTTCTGTGTGCTATAATATTTAATATGTTCAGGGCCGGGGATTTAGCTCTGAGGTTCTGGTGCCTGCCTCACAAGCACAGGAGCCCGAGTTCAATCCCCAGTACCCCCCCAAATATATATATTT